TAGTCCAAAAAAAAACCCCAAAATCCAAACCTTAACAATTCATTTAAAGTCAGTTGACAGAAACTGGGTTGTGTGAAGGCCTGTGTGCTACCTGGTTGTATGACAGTACAACCTGTGTCTGTGACAATAGTCATGGAAAGGGTGTCCATGTCACTCAGAGTAATCATAATGTAGTTAAAACACTGTTTTAGAAGAGGTTAAGGCCAGCACTACTCTGACTGAAGAGAGGAGCAATGGTTTCTGAGTAAGTTAGGCGGTTGTGAAGACGCTTTTGGCCATTAAGAGCTTAACATGACTATGAATGACTGTTTCACAGTTTTAATACTTTTTTTCCTTGATTTCTTGATAAATTTTTGCAGAAAGATACAGTGAAGTCATAAAAGGTATAAATTTAGTTGTAAACGTAGTTATGCATGTCAGAATGCAATAAAGTGTACTTGCAAAGTAGCATAATGCATAGTTTTGATGGATATTAAGACCTTATAAATAATAAACATAATTTGTACAGAGTACAGACAATAAGCCAGTGCCTCTGAAAACAGGAGAAGATGAAGATTACATGTTGGCCTTAAAACAAGATCTTAGAGGAACTATGAAAAAAATGCCATATTTTTTGGCAGTAGAAGAAGATCGTGAAGGTTTGTTTGTGTGCTTTTTATTTATATCTTCAGTAGTAATTATTCCGTAAAGGATGATGTAGTGAAATGCATGTGTTGAAGATGTATTTTGTACTGATAATGAAGAATAAAAATTGGCAGCTTAAGATAGTAGGGAATTTTTCTGCTTTTACACTTACTGAAGCTGTAGGTCACACCCACAAGTGCTGCAACTGCAAAGCAACTACTGTGTGAGAAAGAGAGGTATCAAACATCTATTCCATTTGATATACAGTAAGAAACTTTTAGACCAACTATATGCAGTCTTTTCAATTACATGCTAACCAATACAAGTGAAATAGGCATTTCTACATAGAATCATAGAATCATTAAGGTTGGAAGAGACCTCCAAGATCATCGAGTCCAACCGTCAACCCAACACCACCATGCCCACTAAACCATGCCCCTAAGCGCCTCATCTACACGTCTTTTAAATACTTCCAGGGATGGTGACTCAACCACTTCCCTGGGCAGCCTGGTCCAATGTTTAACCACTCTTTCAGTAAAGAAATTTTTCCTCACATCCAATCTAAACCTCCCCTGGCGCAACTTGAGGCCATTTCCTCTCGTCCTTTCGCCAGTTACTTGGGAGAAGAGACCAACACCCACCTCGCTACACCCTCCTTTCAGGTAGTTGTAGAGAGCGATGAGGTCTCCCCTCAGCCTCCTTTTCTCCAGGCTAAAATGGAGAAACATTTTCTACATGTTAAAATTTAGTTAACATTTAGTTAGTTCTACATGTTAAAATTTAGTTAACATTTCCTACATGTTAAAATACCCTAAAACCTTTGCATTGGAGCAAAGAGATCTGTAGTAAATACTCGTGTTGAAATTCAACTTCCATTTTAATTGTGTAAAGACATACTTAAAACAACCAATGTTATATTTAGTAGCTGGACATTATAAAAGGTACTAATTTTTTTTCCCTTAAGTCCATCCAGGAAAGGTTGGTAAGTATTACTGACAAGTCACCTGAAATACGAAGGCTGAGTTGAGGATTTACTAAAGTGATCTTTACTAGTGATCATTTACTTTAGTGATCTTAACTAGTAAATCACTAAAGTGATTTACTGAGGTTTGCATCAGAAGCAGAGCTGGATTAGAAGCCAAAGCTTGATCTTACTCTACTTGACCTAAGAATGTCTTTTGCTTATGTGTAATAAAAAATTAACTGCTTTGTTATTGTTTGATAATAATAAATGCTCTGCTATTCTTGACATCCAGTCATACGTCATTATACTGTTAAAATCCAAGCTTCCTGGTCAGAAAACTGAGCTAGTGGGAAAGAAGGAAAGGGGAGCAGGGTGGGAAGACTTTAATGTCTGTTTACCTTGCTGTGGGGGTATTTTAAATCTAGCAGTCACAGGAGGTTATTGCTGTGAGGAGTGCTTCTTTTCATTAGTGATTTTTGCCTAGTTCTATCATCCTCCTGGGTGCTTGTTCTGAATAGTATAAATGGTAAGTGCTGTTACAGGAAAATAGGAAATACAACATATTAGGAAATGCCACATGTGTCAGTCCCTAGGCCCAGTCAGTGCAATAGGCAGTCGGTAAAAAGCTTTATAAAAATGTTTAAGAAACCTGAAGTCGCCAAACACTGGGTAATGTTTTCCTTGCTATCTTGTGCTGATTTTGGATAATGAGAGCCAACTTGAACTCTAGGACGTGAGGTTTAATTTCCACCCCAAAACTGTCAGAATATTTTCTGACTGAATATTCATGATGTAGATACGGTACAGGTACATAGTCCAGTCCCCTCTGAATTTTTGTTAATTTTTGTTTGTGGTGAAGTGGTTTTTGAGACTGTGTGCAATTTTTTTTTTATTAGGCTTTGAATGTAACACTGATTAACACACCTTACTGATTGTCCACTTGTTCTTGTACTAAAGCACTGTTTAAAACGGAGCAGCACTCTGCAGTACGAGCAGTGAACACACTGCTGACCAGACGTTGTGGCTCACAAAAGGCAGACTATTTCCTCTGACCTGCAGCTGGAGCCCAGCAGTCACCGGGACACAGCAGGCAGCTGTAGTGCAGCACAAGCTGACGGCCCAGGGTGGACCCTGACGGTGCGGCCAGGTAAAACCTTGGTTATGAGGCAAGGAGGACAGATCTGATCTTCATTTCTAGATCCCTTTGTGATGGCAGAAGAATTCCAAATTACTCTTTATCACATCTCCGCTTTCATCTTCTGAGTAAACAAATTTCAATCTCTGGATTCTCATCTCACCAGAGGCTTGTGCTTTTGATCTTTGTCAGGCTTGAAGTTTGCTATTTCCGTTTGAGGCACAAAAAAGGAAGCTGCTATGCCTGAGAGCCGGTCAGGGTTATTTCCAAGCAACCAGTCACTGTATGAGAACATATTATCTCTCTTTTCCAACTTCGCCTCGTGATCATTCTTACTGTTCACCTCAAAATCATCTTTGTTTCTGCAGCCTTCTTTTTGAGGTGGAGTGTTCTCTCTCTGTTGCTGAGTGTGCTCCTTAATAGAACTGCCAGCTTTGAAGACTCTTTTTCTACAAAAACTGGCAGTTGCAGGGTAAGCAGGCAGACAGCCACTTGGTAGACTCAAATAATGCTTCAGATGTCCTCATTGTCTCCCCAAGGGTAAGTTTGTAAGTTGAGGTAACTTTTTACTGAACCTTTAGTTGTACAAAAATGCCTCATCTGAGGGGTGGGGTATAATTACATCAGTGGTGGTCTGCAGCTTAAAAAGCTTGCTTTAATCTCAGTTACAGTATGCAGTTGTGTTCTGGGACTGCAATATGTAGCAGAAGTGGCCTAGCTTTAAGAAGATCACTTTCTTCCCCCAAGGTAAATTATTTTTAACTCATATTTTCTGTTTTCTGGTTTACAGCCCTTTCCTCCCCTGTATTTCATCAAAACATCTGGTAGGCAGAGAGGCAGGAGGGGGACTGTGGGCAGGAACTTCTTAAATTGGCTTTGCTACAAGAGCAAATGGATTGTTGTAAACCCTCAGCACAACACGTGTGAGCCAAATGGTCCTTTGAAGTGTGAGAAGGGAAACATTTTAATTAGTTAGGACATAGCTAGCTATCTTTCATTATTCAGGTAGTAAATGAAAGCCATGTCTAATACTACCTGGCAATTTTGATGCGTTAGTGTGCCATATAGAATAGATTTTCATCATTCATTTCAACACTCATTTTGAGTGAGTAGCAGGCTTATTCTGTATTAAGTTCTCTAATTTCCTGTCTTCGTAAGCTATGAATCATTCATATTTTTCCTGTAGGTATATCTGCTGTGACTGGGTGACTCACCTTAGCAGTGGTTTGGAATTAATTCATTAGCTGTGAGTGGCGAGAGTCAGTCAGATGTAGTTTTTTACTGATGGCATCAGCAATTAATTCTTCACTGAAGAGCCTCGAGCTGAAATCAAAACTACTAGTTTTTTTCCCTCTCTGTGCTGACAGTTTCCTACAGCATCTGTGAAGGCCACGTACATTAAATGTCCCTTGAGACACTGTCATTTTAAATGCAAGCTCTTTGTTGCGGAGTTTTAAGTAGGTCTTCTGCTTGCCCTCGTCATAACTAAGTTTAAAATTGAGCTTCATTTCTGATATCTTCTCCCTTTCTGTGGTGAGTATGTTAGAAGTCTTTGACTGTAAAGGTCACAGTCTGTCTTTGTTACCATTTTTTGTACAATACCCACAAAAATTATCCATGTTTGGGTAACGAGTTATTACTGCAGTCAGAATCAGTATTTTGCATTAAGTGGATTTTGCAGTTGGGCATGCTAATTTGGTAAGAAAAAATGGGACTGATTTAAAAATACTTAAGTTTTGATATTGCTTTTGTCATTAGAGATTGTACAAGAAATTTTTTTTGCAGTAGTATAAATGGATGTACTTACACTGCATAACTACTGTATTATTTACAGTGAATTTCTCAGTTTATTTCTTGTGCCTGGAAAGAGGTTAAATGGACTAAAATACGTTGCTGCTGTTCAGGACACATCTGTTATGCCGCAAAGCTTTGCCATTGCAGAAGTACTTAAAAGTCTTGGGAGTTGATCATGATCAGTCTGAGACGCAGCCTTCTGAGACCTGGGAATTCTGGATACTCTTTATGATTAGCACAGTGGTGATAAATGTTACTGACTGGTTTTGTAGCAAAGGTTTGATGTTGAAACTGTTGAAGAGCAGAAGAGTTAGCGTTCCTTTGATGTTTCAATGTAGTTTCCCTGACTATATCTGCATTTTATGTTTCCATGCTTTACAAGGATGGAAGTATAAATTATAATAATTTTGGAGGTTTGTTTTTTTTTTTTTGGGGGGTGGGGGAGTGTTTTGATTGAAAGGAGATACCCCAAAAATGCAAAGCAATATTTGGGGTTTTTGCCTTTTTTGTGGGGATATAAAATCCAGGTCTTGCCAGTACTTAGCAAATGATTAATCCTGGAAATTGTCATGAGAACTGCTGAAAGTAGTGACGTTAAACTGTTTTTTAAGTGTTTGACAACAGCACAAGAAAGTGTTCAATGTGGGATTAAAAAAATACACTGTATGTTTAGTTACAGGAAAATATCAAGGACAGTGTCTGGATTGCCTTTTTAATTAATTGAATTCAATAACTCTTTGCGTCCTTCTCTATAGCAATTGAGAGGTACAGTAAAAAGTACCAGGACAGTGAAAAGGAGCATGCAGCCTGGACCCCAGGTAATATCTGAGATTATCAAAGACTAATACTTCATTAACCTGTGAAATGTTCTGCTTTTTTAAATGTTTGATTCATTTTTTTTCAAGCAATAAAAAAGTATGCAAATCCTTACCAAGTCATATATTCCTTGTTGAGGGTTATGCCCTTTGCATGTTTTCAGCTCAAGGCGAAGTATTGTTTTGTCCAAAAAAGAAAAAGAACAAAATCTGATTTTATTTATTTACTCAGTAGAAACAACTGATTTGCAGCAAAAATGCAAGCTTTAGCTCTCACTCTCGCTTCCCTTCTTCCTTGCTCGCCATGCAGATAACCAGTTTTGAACTGGGAACAAACATTGGTGTTACTAAAAATAACCCAACCTGATGTCTCAGTCACAGGTAGCTGGATTTTATAGCATTAAACTTCCACAACCGTATCTGTATAGCTCACTACTGCAAACTTAATTATAGAATGTAAATTGAAGGGCATGTGGGCCACTGGAAGGGCTGAACTTTTATCTCTTTGGGCAGATGCCAGTTGTCATTAAGTGGGTGAAATGCCAGTCCTCACTCTACTTCCTCAATCTAAAATACAGCTAGAATTCCATAAAACTGTTGTGTGCTAAAACACTTAAGCGTGCATGTAAATAGGATCAAGCACAACAGGGGCCCCTACTTTTCCTTGGTGGGTGGCAGGGGGAGGGTTACTGCTGTAAATCATCATTCATATGTGTTAAAGCTATTTTCTGTACAGATTGGAGAAGACTCCCAAGAGAGATGAAGCCAAAGAAAAAGACCAAAAAAGGTATTTTATATATTTTTAAGAAGCATTTAGTACACGCTAGTTGGGCGATAGAAGACATACTGGAGCTGGTGAGGGAAAAAAAATATGGTAGAAATGTTAAATAGTCCAAATAATCAGGGCTTTTGGCAGATTTTTTTCTAAATAATTTACTAGTCTGTTTGTCTCTTGTGGCTTTTGCTTTGCTTCTGTAGGATCTTTTATCTTACTGGAACAGATTTATCTTCCTTTCCTGCCTTTCATATTGATGTACCATATTAACATACCAGATATGTAACAGTGAAAGATTAAAAAAAACACAAAACTTTTTGTTTTGAAAGTTTGTATCTTTAGTCAACACTCACCCTTCTTCTATTCAATGAATAGCCAGCGGGTCAGATTTCCTTTATTTTTTGGGTTTATCAATTATCTTGTTTATGATTTGGTTGACTTTTGCATTTTTTAAGCCTTTTATATGTGATTTAATGTAGGTTATTTTCTGTTTTCCCTGGTTTTACTTTTTTTGTTTATTTTCAGCTTTCTTCTGCAGAATTGTGAACCAGATCCTTCAACAGCAGTTGGAGCTGGTATTGGTTGTTCTTACAGGAAAAAACTTTTTTATTACACAGCATCATACGTGTATTTGTTTTTCAAAGTGTTTTCTAGTATGCATGACTGTTATTTTAAGTTCTCTGTAGAAGTCTGTTGCTCTGTTGATGTGAAATAACACTTGGCCTCCTGTATTTAGCTGTCTGTTACATATAATTGTTTACTTTCTTGTTCTCTTTGTCCAAGTCCTTCATGTGTCATTTTTCAGTTCAAGGATAAAATAGAAAAAGAAAAGGGAATGTGCAGTAGTCATGGAGACTGGCTCAGCTGGAAGCTTTGCTCCTTTTAAGAGCGTCATTGAGAAGCATGGTACTAAAGGTAGACTGCAAGATTCAAATGAAAATTACTTACTTGGCAAAATCTCTAAAGATGAAACCAGTACATACCTACTTTTTTTTCAAAAGAAGAAACTGCATTGGCTTTTATAATTAGCTCCCCAAGAGCCAATGAAATCATAAATGCCGATTTATTATTCCTGGTTACAGTGATGTTGTGATTATCGTAAACAGAGAATCACTGTGGGGAATTTTCCTCTTTCTTTTGTGCCAGTTTCTCTATTTGCTTTTAAAGGTACATTTTCTTACATAATTGTAATGGCAAAGATCAGCTGACCATCGGATTTGATTGGATTAAAAAAATAGGTTTCTCTAAAAGCAAAAATCACGTGTGTTTAGTTTTTGGGGGGAATCCTGATGACACAGAGGGCATACAAAAGTCATATGACTCAGGAGGTTTGTAAATAGCTGATCAGTGACACATTAGCCCTTCTGGTACGTATCTTTGTTGTATTTTGAGGACAGCCATCTTAGGTGACACTTTATAACTGAGGGGAACAAAGGTGAGGGAGTCAAGAGAATCTGCACCGAAATTCAAACAGCCTTCCTACCGTTCTACCTTTGTGGATTGCAGGAGCGGCTTCGGGATCACTACACAGTCACATGTACAGGGACAGCTTCATTTCTACACACCTCTTCCCTCCCCCTTTCTGGTTTCCCTGAACGTTTTAACCTAAGACCTGACCACCTGCCTTCTTAGTGACAAAACTTCGGGTAGAATTCCGCATCTCTCCCGCCCTTAGCCTGGGCTGTGGACCACGGTATCCTAGATACCAGCAGTGCCTGCCAAAAAAAAAAGCCAAAAAACGAAACGTTGACTGGGTTCAGCTCTTGTAGGCCAGCTATATGCATAGGTATATAGCAAACAGGTGTATGCATTTAAGCCCAAGTATCGTGAGAACGTGTATTTGGAAAGATTAGATTGTATTCCATTGCACCTGAAAGCTGCATGGATGTAAGGAGCTATTTTGCTTGAAGTTCTACTAACGGTTGGTCAGTGTCTCCAATTTTATGATAAGCTCCGGAGATGCCCAGCATTGAGGGAAAAATCTTGCATGCCTGTTTCCATTTCCAGGCTGTTTATTCTATAGGCATTATCTCTAAAAGCCTGCAGGGGTTTGTGCAGAAATGATAATTTTGAATCGCACTTTCCACTTGTTTTCCTTAAAACCCTACTTCATTCTGGATGTGTTTGCTTTGACGCTGTTCATATGTTATTACAGAGCAGCTTGACTCCCCTCAGCTCCATGCAGTGCTTTTGTCACGTAATCCCTTCCTAGGCAAAACACTGAAATGAACTGAATGTTATTTATGACAAATGCTTTTGACAAAATACAGTTGTCTTCTTAGCAGCTCTTAGTGTTCTGCTTCCTTTAAGTATTAGGCCAGATGAAATACATAACCACATTGGGTTACTATCTAGTCCAGAAAGGATATCCCCTCCATTGATGCACACTATTTCTCTTTCTGTGGCACGTTACACAGGCAGTTTTACCCTGCTGAGAAGAGCTAATCTGTGGTAGGTACAGCCCTATGTTCCAAGTTTTATGTGATTGTGCTGAATGTAGCAGAACTGAAAGACAGTTACATCATGGAAACAGCATGTCTCACAGAGCTCTCTAAAGGCTCTCTCGGTACAGAGCTCTTTGTTTCTCCTCATCTACTGGTCAAACTGCATTCCTGGAACTGGGGCAGCTACTCCCTTCGTTTAGGGTGCTGCAATTCAGGTAGCTCTTACCTGGGTATATGGAACGATATTTTTACCTTCACTCCACCATATAGTTACATAGCATAATGAGGTTGGATTGTAGGGAGTAACTTGATACAGATGGTGTTCGAGAATCAGGGGACTAGGTGAAAATACGCACTGTGGACTCACTGTATGAGAGCCAACTGTGGTCCAAAAGCCGTCTAGCTGCAGTAACCATGCCTACTGTGTTGGAGCTAATAAACTCTGCTGTCTGCCTTTTTTTTGTCTATCTACCTGAAGCACCCAGCTGTCATTAATGTGTTGCATACATTAGTAACATTAATGCGTTTTTATCTTTTCAAGATGATGAAAAATAACAATTGAGATTCTGTTCTAGTTTCTTAGCATATTGCGAGTATGTGGGCAAAAAGTATTTTGTGAAGCTGAACATCATACTTTGGCCAAACCTTTGGTCAACTGTCTGTTCAAAGTGAATTTCAGACTGGCCCTATAGGCATCACTTACATAAATGGGGCATTTACACCTGCATGAATGATGTAGCTCAAAGTCTAAGGTAATTTTAATACAGATGGTATGGGATTTCCATGGCATTCTCAAGGTGTAAGCTCTTAAGAGCAAGTAAAAGAAAAGAATTTGTGTTCTTCCATATTAAAAAAAATAATTGTGATGTGTTTTATTTCAGCAGGTGCAAAACCAAAAAAGGCAAAAAGCTCTGAGCCTAAAAGTAATCTGGATGTGTTGAAAAAAATTGAGGTAAGATGTGCATACTCCCTCTAAATTGTACAATAGAAACTGCTGAAGGAAAATAAAACCCTTAGTATGTTTTTTGGCACCAAATGGAATAACCAGAGCAGCCTTGGTTGGGAGAAGGAGGAGGATAGAGCCTGGCTGTGGAGAAACTATTTTCTTTGCTCCTGTTTGACTCTGAACACAACAACTGGTTGTTCTTCACTGGGTAGCGATGTAGCCTAATTGTGAACAGCAGAGCTACTATTAGAGCTTATTGAAGGAGGAATTGGTGCCAGTGCGTTTAAATCTATTGCTGTTCTGCCAGTCTACTGATGTTGGAAATTAAACAATTTAGTAAGTTGAGAGGGAAGAAGCACACAGAAAGAGAAACTTGGGAGGAAAGTGACCTTGGTTTTGGAGGTGATTACCCACCATGTGGGAATGGGAAGCTTAAAGGTGAAACAGCCTTTTATTTTTTCTCTTGGTGATCCATCAGTTGTTTGGCACAGATACATTATTATATACAGTATGTGGTACTGTTTCATCACGTGTGACATGGCCTTCTACTGTCAGTTATTCCAGCAGTGGATGGTAAAGGGGAATCATCATCTCAATTTCTTACACAAGACATACTTTTTTAGACTTCAGGTCCGATGGCTAATGCTTGATCAAGTAAGTCCTTATGAAGTTCTTGTGCTTCACATCATGTTGTTCTAAATATTGACAAACAACATTTGCACAACATTGTTATGCTAGTTGTCTCGCTGTTCACTGCAGCGTAACATTATGGTAGCGTGGAGGATATGCTGTTGCTGTAACATGGGATTACCTTGTAAAGGAGATTGCCTTGTGACAGGAGTTGGAAAAGAAGGATGATGAAGAAGAAAAATCTGAAGATGAGAAAGACAAAACAAAAGACAAAGAAGGTGAAGATGATGAAGAAGCAGAAGAACCAGAGGAATATGATGAAGAGGAGCATGAAGAGGTATAATGTTAGCTTTCCTGTTTACACAAAGTCAGATCCCACTCATCGAGGAGCATGTTGGCTGTCAGTGAAAGAAATGTCCCTAGCTTCTCTGATGCTGAGGGAGAGTTGTAGTGAGAGGCATTATTACATTAATTCTCTTTGTTGCACTACATTGTGTTGTAGTTAATTTAAGTGGGTGTTTTAGATTTGTTACTCCCAAAGAGCTCTGAAAAAAAGATCTTGCAAGCAGGAACATGTCCTGCCACAATCAATACATACAATTATTTGTTTTCATGACTAAAACAGTGATGCCTCTTCTTTCATAGATATCAGAACTTCATTGCAGTATTTTCCTTCTTCTTTCCCAAGGAATAAGGAAAGAAAAAACTATTACTGTTTCAAAACGTGGGTGCTCAAGTGCAGTTTAAAACGTGTTTCTTTCATGAATTGCCTCCACAGATACAGTTGATAGATGGTTTTTTCCTTTTGTTTAGGAAAATGACTACATTTCTTCATATTTTGAAGATGGAGATGACTTTGGTGCTGGCAGTGATGACAATATGGATGAAGCAACGTATTAGCTATTGTTGCTAGGTGGTACACTGCTCACGCCTTACCCTACTTGAAGTAGAATTCTGGAGGTAGGCCGAGTATCAGCAGAACGGATGCGTTAGCTCTGTTGGTTTTAAGTACACTCTCCAAACACATGTTGGACAATTCTTTTTAATTGTACTATGCTGTAAAACAGGATATGGGATCCTTTGTTTTGTTCTTTTGCCAAATGTTTTGCAGACATGCACCTTTTTAAGGTTCTCTGGAATGCCTGCTGATGGACTAAGCTATATGCCATTGTATTGCCTCTGCACAGAAAAAGAATGTATACGTTTTAATCAAAATTGTGCCTAAGCATTTGCACTAGTCAGTTCTATGCTTTAGCAGTCAAATCTTGGCAGTAATAGTGAAATTCTTCATGACTGCAGCAAAAAAGAGCTATGGCCTTTATGGACATAAGCTGCTCGTATTTGGCAGCTGATTTCTCTGAAGGAATTTATGTAACGTCTGAATTCAGGTGACTGAAAATAATTGACCACTAAGCACTTTAATATAAACTGACTTGAAAGGACCTTAGTAACATGGACAAACAACGACAGTATTTTGAAGAGCTATTATTCTAGTTAAAAGAGCTCATTATTTTCAGTGTTTTGATAAAAAGGAACTGTAATACTTAGCAATGTGTTACATTACCTTTATGAATCAGCATAAGTAATGATTCAGGGTAGAATATATGGCAGAATTTAAGATTGAGAAATTATGGAAACCTAGTTTTCACCAGTGGCACACAGATTAGTGGTGAGAATTTCAGTCCTTCGCCTCAGTTTCTCTGCCTCTTAAGGCGATACTAACTTTCCTACCTCACGGAGCTGTTAAGTGAGATGGCAGATGATAGCTAGCTGTGTAATTGTCAATACATTTATTTACTTTTCTACAGAACAAATGAGACAGAAACTTAACAGACAGCAATTTAATACAAAAAAACCCCCAAAAATGTAGGAAAAGAATGTGGTGAAGTATTTTGATGCATGAGGTTTTAATTAGGAAAACAAGACAAGAATGCTGAGAATAGCAAAACCAGAATGTTTTGAAACATTAATTTTATTTAAGAACCAACAGCTGAAGTGTAGAAAACTTACTCCTGAGATCAGACACTTGAGGAAATGACAGAGCATCTTTGTGTCCCATTGTCCTTTGGTGATACAAAATATTATTGATCAGTGTTATTACTATTGATCAGGGTTGTTTTGTTTAAAACATTCCGTTCCTGATAACTAGCGCTGTTACCGGGTCTAACGAAAGAACAGTTTTAAAACAAAACCAATTCTTTTATCAACAAAGGAAAGTATGGAAGTTTTCCTTGCAAGTTGGCGTTTTGTCAAGCAGTACTTTACCTCACTGCTGACTGGAAAACAGTACTGCATTATTCTATGAACTTCTGTATGCAATAACAATTTGTTCCTTAAGGTGTAGCTTTCAAGTGTTCTGATAAAATTCATATCAGATGTAAAGGAAATGAAACTAAAATGCTATGCAGGTCACACCTGAGGTATACCAATTTTATTTTGAAGTGTTCATAGCTATACAGTGTTTAATAAACATTCTGCTGTATTGCATAGGAAATGTATTCTGTCTGATCATTTTCTTTTAACATCACACATGCCAGCAGTTGTTTCTTGCGTGTGATATACAAGAGAAAGACAGAAGGTGTGGTGAACAAGGTAAGCATGTTGAAAATTAGATTTGTTTGCCTCAAGTATAACTAGTATTATCTTCTACTAGCTGTTTCCCCCTATGCCAAGGTAAACAAGGTTCCTTGCCTCTCATACAAGGAATGAAAACAGGTGGCTTTTGCCAAAGACAGCACTAGAGAATTAACACTGGAAAAGCATTATTGCCCGAGTTACAATTTGGTCACAAGCGGTGGCTTGCCTGAGCAGGCACAATGCCTTATTTTGTAGCAGACGCTAATTCTTGGGGACCGATGACTTTCTTCATTGTTCATACTGCTCACGGGAGAGACAATTGCCTCCCTGCTGTACTGTTGAGAAATACTACTATGGCAGAAGTCGGGTCTTTCTGAGACCTTTAAAAGGTGAACTGTGGTCACCTCTGTCCTCCAGAGGGAACCGCAGAGCCGTAGAATGGACCCTCTAGGACTAGTTTAACAATGGCAAATAAGGCCAACGCTTATGAACACGACGAGTTCTGCAATGATACAGCTCTGCACCAAGGCACTTCTGAAATGGAACGAGATTGTGCTGTTCCAGAGGCATAACACTTGCAGCTGTTTTTATGAGCTGATTTTCTGATTGCTTAGAATTTATTGCAAGACCACAATGCTGATACAACTTAGACCTTTCTTTGGTCTTAGCAAACCTTGGGTTTGGACAGGCATATATTCAAATCCTATCTTAATAGCATAGCAGAAGAACATTGCTACTTCACACAAGAATGCAGTGCTTTCAGTGTGTAGGGAGATCACCATCTAAGAACTTCACTGATCCCTACCTTAATTTTTCATGCCTATTTCTTAATCCTCATTTCACAAGTCCTCAGAACTTTACGCAGAAAAGTTCCAAATTCTACAAGGCATGCACAGGATAAACCATTAAGGCTCCAGTTATGGTATGCGAGATACGAATGCTATATGCAGCTACTGCCAACAAAATACTTGTTGGCCAAGGATTTTATTTTAGCTCACACGTAAAAACTAGCCAAAACAAATACAAGTAGTGGCCTCCTGTAATAAAACATGCAAAGTATATAGAGCTAAGAATACATGATACGCACCACTTCCACTGCAGTCTAAAATAAAATCTTTATTTTACGTACATTACTTGTGTTCTTCTAAAAGCAGAGGAGCAGAAGTATTTAAAATAAGACTTGCGTCCTCAGTCAGGATTATTTTAGAAAGTTATATTTTCAGCCTTTATAAAATAGTTATACAAAGACTATTTGCGACAACATACTCCAAAATATAGCAGATTTAAAGCATTTACATTTTACATGATCAACAGTGCAATATGCACTTAAATTTAAAACCAACTTCCTGATCAACAATGTGTTGTAATTAATCTAAAACATGACTTACCACTTGGTTGTTTTGGTTTGTTTGTTTTTTTTTTAAACAAGTCAGTTTCTATCAGACTAACTTTAGAGATTTTAACTTAAATCAGATTTAAGTTCCATACAGAGCAGTTTCCCTGTTTATTCAGGGCTGACGTGATGATGCATTGCCAATCGTGTTGTACTTTGGAAAAACCAGTAAATATCCCTGCATACTGCAGAAAGCCAAGCCAGCTGATGCTTTGTAGATCACCAGTACCGGGAGTCCCACAACCTTGGAAAGAGATATCCTGTATCTTCTGATAAAAGTTAACTCTCTAAATTAAAAATATGCCATATGAAATATGCTACATAATAAAATAGTAAAACCATGCTAGGTGCTTGGTTAGAGTATAATATGGTTCAATAAAACAGCTATCCCCTTGTGTTTTTCTAATGACTGCTTCTCCTGAGGTAAATAAAGGCCCATCACACTTAACTCAGTGACAATAAGCCACAGGCCTTCCAACACTGTAAAAGCCCAAAGCCCAAGATACACTAGAGAACTATGCAGCTGTACTGCCACAGGACGAAAAACAACAGTTAACACCGCTCTCTTTACTCGTACATCAACAGGATAGAGACCACCTTGACTGAGTCAAACCACAACTGAAGTTAAGTTCACTTCTGTACCGATGGCAGTACAGGTTAATACCCATCAGTTCAGGTACGTGCAGGAAATTAGGCTTATGTTGCATCATCACAATAGCTAATTTCATGTTCTTTGACAATTTCATAAGAAATTGAAGGATAAAGTATTAAAAATGTTGAGGTTTCAGAAACAGAATGAAGGGGAGAGAAGCAAACCAGCAAATAAGCTTGCAGCAAAAACCTGACAGATTGTGTACCAAGTTTCAGTCCTACCTAGAAAACATTTGTCTTCATGTGCCAAAGCTCTGTTGTCTGGACTAGGGCAAGTCACCTTTTAACATTTTAGCCATGGAAGCTGTATCACGTTAGCCACCATAAATTATTTTGCAGTGAGATTTTTCATACAGCCTTACCCAGAATGAGTATTTCAGTATTCATGCTTGTGTTATTAGCATATGCTTTTCATGAAAAGAACTATGATTGTAAAAGATCTTTGAAAACAAGTGTTATGTGAAACATGAAGTTCATGCCTGTTTGCAATCCCTCTTCTAGTGTGGAAGTGTCGTCACACTATCTCCACAGGTAGCACTTCGATCAAAGGGTTCAAGGGCCACAGATCATAGTTCACAGATCCAACTGTACAGCATTTCCCTTTAAGCTTTGGCCTGCTTCAATTTCAATATAATACATTAAAAGTTATCCAATTCACGGTTCATACACTTAGCATGCCAGTGAAGAACATTTGCCCCACTTCTTGGGGCAATAGGTGCCCCAAGAATAGATGGGGCATGAGTTTTTACTTTCAAAATTTAAGTTGATAAAGCACTTTGGAATACCTCCAATAGTTAGGAAACATTCACTTCATCGGATTTTTTTATACCGTATATACTTAGTCAAGACACTCAAAGGAAAGCTTAGAATAGTAGTTTAAAGGATAGTGATATTTTTCCACTTCTCTCTTTCTAAGTCCTATTCAAGTCAGTTATTTTGGGAACAGGGCAATGGAAATCTTACTCCACAAGGCAAATATAACAAAAAAGTAATAGGCAGCATCTCAGTTTTTATTTAAAAATATTCTGAGTACACAAGTACCTCCTTTCTGTAGGAAGAGTCCGGGATTTTTTTTGTTTATCTTGTAGAATTTTCAGATAGGGAAGAAGAGAGGAGAAAAACAAGGTTGTTCATGAAACCACAAGTAAAACATTGAAGAACAGAGTGGTTGATGAATACACTGCTACATAAAGAACAAGTCTGAAGCTGCAACTGCTCTATTCTGCTGCAATTTAAGTTTCTTGCTAGCAGCCATTAAATCTCATTTAAGTTTTCTAGGAGATTTCAGGAAAAAGTTAGTGTTTGAGGTTCATGGGCACACGACCATTAGCATACTCAGTACCCACGTGACTGCTGTCCAAAGAATCAGTTGGTCCTGAACTGAGATTAACTGGAGGGGGGACAAAAAAAAGCCATTAGCATAAAATAAACTGCTGAAGCAGTCACAGTAAGGTGCCCCACATCTGCACTTCTTTCGTTCTATACACAGCTGACCAGAGGAGAAGTGCAGTCCAGTCAGTTTTCAGTAGGATACCACAGAGGGATGTGAAGTTTCAGCATGACTCTCTCACCTGGACTGTGTTGAGGCACAGTGTCGCACGCATAGAAAACAAATTATCCTACTGCCTGTACTGAAAAGCACTAAAGAATCGGTTGACCACGGGCACAAGATTTGAAGATTCCAGCTTAAGTACTACCTCTATAAAAGTCACTTGTGAAAAAGAACTTCATAGTGGCAATTAATTATGGAATGATTGGGTTTTAAAAAAAAAATCTTACTCTATAAGAAAGATAAAATTATAAGAACGCAGTTTTAACTGACAATTGTAAACCTGGTATTAAAATGTCAAGTGTACTATGCATTCTATAAATACTTTAAGATGTTTAAAAGTTAGATATCCCCAAATGCCCGTTTTAGGGCTGTAAAACATACAGTGAGACTCCTCATGTGTTAGTTCAAACTACATTTTTTCACCTCATTATTAATTAAAAAACACATGCCTATCAAAATAGAAAAAAGTGCAAAGCTTCAGAGACAACTTTATACCTTAATTTATATCCCAATCTTGCATTAAAATCACCTGTCTCAGGCATATTCAGAAATTACATGATCCACAGAAATACCCTTGAACTGGAACACTGCCCGTGAAGGCAAGTCACACATCAGCACTCATTTTCTCTGCGTCCCATATGCATTTGGCATTCTATGGTTTCCCCTTTATCTAATGCTATGTTACGTGTCTATGAATAACAGTTGCCTGGGGTTTTCCGTTGTTAAGGCTGAAGATCTCCTTGATTATCAACATTTATAATATTCGCTGGATTTATTCCGTTTTCTATTTGTTTCTGATGCGATGCTGCTGTGACAAACAAATGGGAAGATTCCATTGTAGAATGGTGACTGACATCTGCTTTCACTAGAACTTCGTAATACAGGAGATAAAAAACTGGAGTTACTATGCCAATTATCAACATAATCACTACAGCTGTCCACCATCCTATACCCCAATCTGCTCCATAGTAAGGATCCTTGCATTTTTTAGTTTTACCATCGGTTTCAAAACATATCTGTTGGGCTGCTAAGGCAGAAACAACTTCATTAAGATTCTCTCTCTTTGTATCGTTACACTTCACTATTTCTTCTATATCTCGATCCACTTCTTTTAAGAAGTTGCCAGCAGTCTCATTAGCAGAGAATTTATCAGAAGGTGACGTTTCCTGCACTTCTGGGGAACAGTGAGCAGGCCGAAGGACTGGTCTTCCTTTTGGAGAGACATGTGTTTCGGTCAGTACACTGAACTTTTTCACTGGAATTCTGATAGACCTCAGGGCAAAAAAATCTTGATCATTGATAAGATTGTTAACTCTCTTGATATCTGCAACCTAAAAATAAAAACAACAGTTTAAATAGCAAAGCCCCACTGAACGGAAACTCTTTAAGAGTACTACATCCTTAAGAAATACAGTTCTTCCCTAATGAAACAAAGGCAGGGCCTTTTTTTTTCAATCGCGATACCCATTGAAACAGTATGAAATGAGAAGAGGTCAAAGACCAAATCTGAACAATCTTAAAGCAAGAAGGTAATTGCGAGGTAACATGCCTCCTCACTTCACATAAGAAGACTGAAAGTCACTTCACGCGTATATATTCACTTAATGTATGTTCACCTATCAGTGGCAACTATCTCTGTGAAAGGAATGGGACTTTACCTCGGTGTTTTAAAATGAAGGAAATTACTGTGAGTTCCTAATTGAATTTAAAACTTCGGAGCAAGGAATATTAAAAATTATGAGCTTCCAATTCATCTAGCGACAGCTGTGGTTTGGATGTTCTTTCTGCTTGGGCGGGCTAAGGCAGAAACTAAGCATAACTTAAAACTGTCATCTTCCCTCATCAAG